CAAGTCTTCAAATCTTGTTTTGCTGCAGTATTCGTAAAATTTCGCATACTGCGATCGTAGCTTATAACTATGTTTATGTAAAAATTGATCGTTTGAAAGTTGGATATGCTAATGCATCCGCTTACAGAATATTTTGTTGACATCTTAAATGCGTAAAATTTTTGTTTTTAGGATTGACCGATGATGAAATCTTTTTAGAAATATTTGAATATTTCGATGGTTATGATCTTTATGAATACTTTAGTATTGGACCTGCTTCGTATGAAACTGTCACCAGACATTTATTAGGCTTACAGATCTCGCGGATAAGCATTCTTCGTGTGAAAATTAAGTCATGAATATTATGCAAAGCGAACTGAAAAAACAGATCGAGAAAAGGTTCCTCCATGACATGTTTTTGACATCAAACCTTGAAGATTTTTTGATCATATATCTTATTAACCGAAGAATTTCGAGGCTCAGCAGACTCCAGCTCAAGGCTGGGTAAAAGTTTTAAGGAATACCAGGGGATTTTTTTATTCCGAGAAAAAAACACATGGTAAACTTCCCAACACCCATTAATACGCAAAAACGACACAAAACCTGACCAACGTTTAAAAAAATAACTACACTGTAAAGAAAAATTTCTTGAGAAGAAAAACAGAAATCAAACGCAAAATCAGTGAGAGAGAAAAAAATTAGAATTATAAACATATTTCGTTGTTCTTTTTTATTTTAAACTCGCATAACTCTGCAGACCACATAGCCTTTTCTAAAAAAACATTTACTGCTAACTCCGTTTTTTATTGAACTTAACAAGTTCGCCTCCACTTGTCTGTATAAGTTGTAGGTAACCTTTCTTCTTTCTTAATTCTTACATGCCTCCAAACACTGTGAATTAACGGAAAAAACTTGATTATCAATAATTGTTTCCTTCATTTTTTGATATTCAGCACTTGTTATATCGCCAAATGCAGCACGTGTAATATGTTCAGGTAAAGTATAGAGAAATAAGGATGGCAGAAGACTTCCACCAAAATCATTACTACTGAATGTTGACAGGATTGATGCTGATGTACAATTAAGATTTTCAATATAACTAAGTGCACCTTTAGGAATTATCATACCCATACCGGGAGACAATATATTTTCAATTAGTTTACCACGTGTCTGAACGACGAAACCTTTTCAAAAGAAAATAAAGAAAAAACTTGTTAGATCTCTCACTCTAATATTCACACAGCCACTCTTACTTACCAAGTCGTACATGACCTTCTAAGACATAGGTGATTACATCACTACG